CAACACATTTTCAACTTAAACAGAAAATTTGTGGACATATGTTTGGAAGATAGGAGAGAAATTTTCCATCATTAAAGGTTAAAAACGCGTTATCTTTTTCATATGAATATAAAATCACCACAACTGTTACAGATACAAGTCGATATAAAGGCCATTTCAGTGTATTGTTGTTTTCTTATTTTCATGTTTGTCAAGAATCAATAATTTTTATGAACCAAAAATAAAGTAAAATTAAATATTCACTGTATATTGAGCATGATTTGATTTTTTCATTAGGTGATAAACATTAAACATGTACATGTATTATTTTGAAAGAAATTGAGTGCACTGTGGGGGTGGAATGTAAAATAGATCTTTTTCAGATCAATAACATACATGTATAGCCATGCATACATTTAAGAAATACTCTATCTAAGATAATATTTCATCTATTAACTCAGTCTTATGGTTAGTCTTCAAGTCTATCAGGCAGTAAAGATAGAATCGGAACTACTATTGCATTTACATAAGTTTGTATGATTGAATTTCTACAACTGTATAATTATTGAAAGGATGTAAGGAGAAACTATGCATCAAACATCTTGTCAGTTTAACTATTTTTATTAAAGATCCTACCGGAATGTAAAATTCTCAATTTTAAGGAACTCCATTGAGGTTCTAAAAAGTAAAAACATAAAATATGAAAATGTTTCATAAATCAACTGGGGGCCACCAAAAAATACAACAGGATAATAATTATCCCAGTACCGTTAAATAACAATAAAGAAATATACATTGTTCTCCGAGAATTAAACTGAAAATTCATTTTTTATGCAATTCTTTGATGGATTTTCATTCAAAGCGTTTAAACACTTATCATTTAAAGGTCATTTCACAAACTTTGGAAAAATGATCTGAAGTTATGGTTGAGACCTTCATCATTCTGATTGTACACAAATCTCGAAGAAATATTTCCAGTCCAGTCATGTCAAAAAAACATCAAGGGAGTCCCTTTAAAACTTAAACTTACACCAAAGATAATCATTTGTGAAATTTAAATCTTCCTTCATCCTTAAAAACTTGGGAGGATCAGGAAAATAATACTGCAATCTTCTAATCTTGACCCACCGTCCTCCTACCACAGTTAAACTCATCATTATTGGACATACTGATAAACTTAGTCAATAGTGTCGAGTTATCTTTGTACATCTGTAGTACAGATAAATGCAGCCAGGACTTAAAACCCCTCAAATAAACGTACAATAAACGTACAACTGTGAAACTCATTAGCTAGTCACTTGCCCATAAAAGAGCCCTATAAAAATAGTCTGCCTTTCATGGAACAAGCATAAAAATAACTTTAACTGTTTTTGTATTTGCCACTAAAATTTCATACATATTTAAATAGATTTGTTCTCTACAAACAAATATTTTATAAATTTTTTAACTTCCCAATTCAAAGCAATGATATTACAAAGCAGCAAAAACTAAAACATAATGCATAAAAATTTAAAGAAGCAACTAGAGGATGCTTTTGTAAAAAAGCGCATGTCTCCCCCACTGCTGAGAATAACTGTGAATGGAAACAGGAATGGAAATGGAGAAATTGACCAACGGTCACTGTGACCTTGACCTTTGACCTACTGACCCCAAAAACAATAGGGATCATCTGCTCTATAAGACTAATCATCCTATGAAGTTTGAGGGCTGTAGGTCAAAAGGAACTCTAGTTATCATCCGGAAACGAGAAATTGACCAACGGTCACTGTGACCTTGACCTTTGAACTACTGACCCCAAAAACAATAGGGATCATCTGCTCAATAAGACCAATCATCCTATGAAGTTTGAGGTCTGTAGGTCTAAAGGAACTCTAGTTATCATCCGGAAATGAGAAATTGACCAACGGTCAGTGTGACCTTGACCTTTGACCTACTGACCCCAAAAACAATAGGGATCATCAGCTCTATAAGACCAATCATCCTATGAAGTTTGAGGGCTGTAGGTCAAAAGGAACTCTAGTTATCATCCGAAAACAAGAAATTGACCAACGGTCACTGTGACCTTGACCTTTGAACTACTGACCCCAAAAACAATAGGGATCATCTGCTCAATAAGACCATTCATCCTATGAAGTTTGAGAGCTGTAGGTCAAAAGGAACTCTAGTTATCGTCCGGAAACGAAGAATGGACGGACGGACGGACGGACTGACGGACGGACGGACGGACAGGGCAAAAACAATATGTCTCCCCCCGAGGTGGGGGAGACATAATTATCATAGTATTGCAAGCAATCCATAAGTCCCCAACCGGTTAGAACCCCAGCAACATTCTAAAGAGCCTTTGGCCATTCACTAATGTTTCAATTTTCTCTATTTTAAGTAAATTTGTTGGAAAAGTTCTTTAAAAGTGATCACAGGAAACAGTTTTTATGAACAGACAGACAGACTGAAGGACACTCTAAAGTTAATATTTGAAACATCCCTGTTACCAAAATATAACATTTTTAAAACAAAATTCTTAAAGAGGAGATAAGTCTTGAAATAAAGATGCAATTTCATAAAAAATTTCAGCGCTTTTTGACTTATTCACAAAATATAATTGTTATATTTTTCATGTTTTAAGCCTATTTGTTGCCATGGCAACCATTTTTTTCAAAATAGGAAGAAAAGATTAAAACATGCATAATCTCCAAACTGCCATCTACCCATATGTCAAGTTTCATAAAAATATTTCCAGTACTTTTTAAGTTATCACTGGATTCAGTTTATGTGTAAAATTTGCCATATTTTCAGTCTATTTGTTGCCATAGCAACCAGAATTTTAAACACAGGAAGAAAAGAAACAGACATGCATAATCTCCAGACTGCCATCTACCCATATTTCAAGTTTCATAAAAATATTTCCAGTACTTTTGTGTGATCAGTGGATCCAGTTTATGTGTAAAATTTGCCATATTTTCAGTGTATTTGTTACCATAGCAACCAGAATTTTCAACATAGGAAGAAAAGAAAAAGATGTGCATAATCTCCAGACTGCCATCTACCCATATTTCAAGTTTCATTAAAATATTTCTAGTACTTTTTGCGTTATCACTGGATCCAGTTTATGTGTAAAATTTGCCATATTTTTAGTCTATTTGTTGCCATAGCAACCAGAATTTTCAACATAGGAAGAAAGAAAAAGATGTGCATAATCTCCAGACTGCCATCTACCCATATTTCAAGTTTCATTAAAATATTTCTAGTACTTTTTGAGTTATCACTGGATCCAGTTTATGTGTAAAATTTGCCATATTTTCAATCTATTTGTTGCCATAGCAACAAGGGAAGAAAAGAAAAAGATGTGCATAATCTCCATACTACCATCTATCCATATATAAAGTTTCATAAAAATATTTTCAGTACTTTTTGCATTATCGCGGGATCCAGTTTTGTGGACTGGCGGACGGACAGACAGACGGAGGCTAAACCTAAAGTCCCCTCCGGTAAACCGGTAGTGGACTAACAGACCTCAGAGCAAACTGCTGCCGCATTATTTTCCCAATTTTTGAAGGCCAAAATATCAAGAGCTGTCGGTAGGACAGGGCCCTCAACTATTTAAGTCAGTAAGTGCTTGATAGTAAAACAACCCTTGATTATGTAGTAAAATAACAAAAAAGAGGATCATAAGTACATCATGACATACTATTGAGTCTTTGATATTGACCAAAGAAAGAGTCTTTGATAATGACCAAAGAATGAGTCTTTGATATTGACTAAAGAATGAGTGTTTGATACTGACCAAAGAAAGAGTCTTTGATATCGACCAAAGAAAGAGTCTTTGATATTGACCAAAGAAAGAGTCTTTGATAATGACCAAAGAATGAGTCTTTGATATTGACCAAAGAATGAGTCTTTGATATTGACCAAAGAAAGAGTCTTTGATAATAACCAAAGAAACAGTCTTTGATATTGACCAAAGAAAGAGTCTTTGATATTGACCAAAGAAAGAGTCTTTGATAATAACCAAAGAAACAGTCTTTGATTTTGACCAAAGAATGAGTCTTTGATTATGACCAAAGAAAGAGTCTTTGATATTGACCAAAGAAAGAGACTTTGATGTTGACCAAAGCAAGAGTTTTTGATATTGACCAAAGAATGAGTCTTTGATTTGATGAGAGTTGTTTCCCTTTAAGTATTTTCATTGGTCCGAGGTTTTTATGTGACCAATGAAAATACTCCATTTGAAAACAATCTGCTGCGCCATTTTACTTTCATTTTGGATTGAGAATTTGACATATAGGAAAAAAGGTGCGTTATAGTTTCATATGATGCTTTGATTGAACAATTATTACAATTAATATAATTTAATTCTATCATATTTAAATACTCAATACAAAGAAATATTCATTCACTGTGAATTTAGTGTGTTTTACTCATGAGAGTTTTACCGAAACAGTGCAATCAGATCTCTTCCGAGTTTCATTTGTTGACAGTTTGGACTTGAATATTTCTTGCTACGTATAATCAGCGAAGGTGCCAGTGTTTTATTTATTTATTTAAGTATTTATTTATCTAAGATTTGACACCAAGATTGTTAAGATTGGTGAAAAATTGATGAATATATGCGCTGATAATTGAGATGCTAGTGATATTTCTATGCAAAATGAAAGTAGAGTAAAATACCTTTATAATTTTTTAAGAAACTTTTTCATAAAATTTATTTTTGTCAATACTTATGATGTTTGGATGATGTTTTAAGGGTTTTTATAAAATAGAAAAATAGCTTTCAGCAGCAGAGAAAACTTGAACTTCGTACAAACGCCTGAAAACTTGTACCCATGTACATGTTCCGATCACGCCATACAGCACTGGAAACATCGGTCAACATACATGTGTATTTTTAATGACGCTATATTTTTACATATGACGCAGCTCTCATTACACGACTTTTCCAAGTGATTATCAATGACTAAATATGATAAAAATTATAAATTTGTAATTGAATGAATAATAAAATCTGTGTGTATCACATCACTGACCTAAATCACTACAATGTTCTTACGAATTCCAAACCGAAAGCATCTGACATGTTTCTATAACAAATACATTAGAGCCATGTATGCGTATTTCAATCTTAGATAAATGGTAGTGATGAAGGAATAAATAACTACAGAAAGTGTCAATTTTCGATAAAATCTTAAATGTTCAAATTCTATATAAAGTTTAAAAAGAAATAGTATTAAGTTGCGAAAATGTGGTTGCAAATTTTATGATATTCTTACTATGGCTATCAATACGGTAAACGGATACATGCTTCGCTACAGCCCACGACAATCAATCAAAATTAATCTTATTCTATTCTATTCTGTTATGAGTATACCTAACAATCAAATCAACCCAAGATGCACAAACCCTCAAAAAAGATCTCAACAGTCTTGTAAACTGGGAATCTGATTGGTCCATGGAATTTAATCCACATAAATGTGAAGTCCTTAGTATCAGCCACAAAAGACATCCAGTAGCATTCTATTATAATTTACATGGTCAACAACTAAAATCCACTCAGGCTGCAAAATATTTAGACCTGTGTAACAATTAGTAAAGATCTATCTTGGACCAATCATATAAACAACATAACCTCATATAAAAATGTTAAAGAATCTGCCTACAAAACCTATGTAAGGCAGTTAGAATACTGTTCGACGGTTTAGCATCCTTGGCAAAAACATATGGTTTACTATATTAACACTGAAACATACATTGTATTTATCTGCTTATTATCAAGAAGTTTTTTTCCAAATTTGAACGATTTAAAAGCAAGACACAGAAAATACAAACATTTATTAACAACAACTATATATTAAATTAATAGTAAGTGCCGAGTTTTAGCAATACAATACAACACATAACAGTTAAAAATTATAAGATAAAACAAACAATACTTTGTAAACAGACATTTTTTAATATAAAAAACAAACATTTTTTACAATAAAAGTGATAGATTTTCAATCAGAGTATATATTAACAAGAAATTATATCAAAACATAAGTTAAAAATAATCTTTGATATTACTAACGGCTAATTAGCAATACGCTATAAATAATTAATTTGTTAAACCTTGAAAAAGACAACAACAACAAAAAATCATAGGCCTATATCTAAAGTGTTAGCTAAATGAGATCAAAAGAAAATTATTTTTTAAGTATATTTGTAATTAATTTTTTTAATCAAAAGTTTTTGCATTTGTCAACTGTCTTATAAATTAAAGAACAAGTGTCTTTATTTAGGTGTATTTATTGTTACGCCTTTGAAAAAAGCATTTATCTAAATAGCGATTTATAGATCTATAATGGATTATCAATTAAGGATTAAAATGTCGTTATTGTTTGTGTGCCATCAATCAATCAATATACTACAATTTTTAACGATTTTAAGTATAAAAATTCCTTTAATAAAACTGTTATAAAAAAAGAGCCGAAACGTCTCGCAGAAAGAACCGAAACGTCTATGGGCCGATTTTTGCACAGGGGCCGATTTGGTTTGGGGGCCGAAACGTACTGTTTGCCTGTTTTCCTTGGTCATTCATAAAAAGCTTTTTATTATGAAACTTTAAAGAAAAGAATAAGCTGTTTACGGTAAGCACATATGGAAATTTAGAGTTTTAGTGAATGCTTTTATGAACAACTCCATTTAAATAGTTTTCTATAAACAATTTAAATCATTTATCAATCGCATAAATCTACAATGTATCAAAAAGGTGTTTTACAAAAATCTACGTACTATTATATGTGCATATGTTAATAAATTTCAATATGAAATGTAGAGCAGCTGTTTCCAAAAAAATAGGGAAAATCAGAATCACTAAGAAAGTCCAACAAGGCAAAATTGAAAATGTTGCAGGCTTGGTTTAATTGAGTCTGTTCATGGACGGTACTGATAATTGCAAGCTATCGTCCCCACCCCTAGCACCGTCCTAAGCAGAATTCAACATCCACTTGAACTGGTGCAATTTTGAATTTTGAAGCATCGGCAGATGTGTTCATATGGCAGTTATCATGAAATCTTCAATGTGACACGTAAGTGTCATTCCATGAAAACACGGATTTATATATAAATCCGTGATGATGAAAATAATAACATATCTTTTGTCAATAAGAAACTAATAATCAATGTTTATTTTTTTCTTTAAATTTGTTTCATTAACATCATATATACGTACATGTATATTCTTCATTCACAACATGTCATTTTTTATGTGCATGAGTTCAAGTAAATCTATTAAATTTAGAGACTTTATTACAAATATTCAAATATAGTTTTGTAACTATCTATCTATCTTCCATATTATCAAACCCCTGCTGGGGACCTAGACTTGACGCGCGTCAACTGACAAGAATGTGAGTAAAAGAGCTGAAATAAAAGAATATAAAAGTAATGGAAATGAGTATATTGTTAAAAACAGGTTAGAAATAGAGAAGGTATTATAGGGAGACGTATGTTCAATCCGGCTTACAGCCAGACTGAACTCGGGGCCAGACAAGTTTATGATATCAGGTGGTAAAGCATTCCAGTGGACTATTGTTCTTGGGAAAAATGAATATTTATAGTAACCAGTTTTAGTTTGGACTTGTTGGAATGCATGGGGATGGGATGTTCTTGAGGATCTTGTAAGAGGGACGATATATTTTGGGAAAAAGATAGCCACCTGGTCATGCAAGATGTTGTGAAACAATTTTTATCAGAGACTTATATTACTTTTTTTTCTTTGATTTTTTTATAATTACAAGTAAACAGTTAATATTAATTCTTTTCATAATGCTTAAAAATACTTTAAAAATATATAAGCTGTTTACTTGTGACTTCGGTAACCGGTTAATTTACCGTTCGGCGTACATACCGTGTGCGTTTACATCGGTGTCCGTGTAGATAGCTTTGACAAATCTCACTTGGAATCCTTCGGATATTTCCAATAGTAACATTGTTATTGAGGTGGCAAAGAAATGAACTGATTAAACAAAACACAAAATTTAGTTCATGGTAAGTTTTTTTTGTTATTATAAAATTCTCTGTACTATATAAGGGAAAAATTGTAAATTTCATACAAAGGGCATACTGCCCCAAGTTCTTTAGATGATTTCAAAAATGATTTCTATTTGAAAAAAAGAGAGCATTTTCAACATGTTCAAGGATTTGACAGTCAATCTCGATTTAAAAACCCAATGATACGCCCATTTTGACATTTCTGTTACACATGCGTTTAAAAACTGGACATTTGAAAAAGAAGATAAAACTTTATCATGAACATTACTTTAATTATCCAGCTTGGAATGTCTGCTTATGCCTATGATTCCCTAATTTAAATATCTGACAAAGATTTCGAACCGTTTCGGCCCCAAGACGTATTGGCCCCAAATTACCCAAGACGTTTCAGCCCAGACATTTCGGCCCTTTACCAAATCGGCCCCAGAATAAGTACTGTGTTTTAAACCGGTTTATTAAAATTTCACAGTTATAATATTAATAATCATAAATGACAATTTTCATGAAGTGGAACGCCAATTTCCAAATACCTTGACTTTATATTACAACCATATATGCAGGGTTCTCGGGGACGCTTATTTCGGCGTCCCGGTACGCATGTTTATTACAGCTGGACGCAAATATTTCAGAGCAAGGATTCCAGGTACGCTTAATTTTGCCTGGGGACGCATAAACATTACCGATTGTTTACAACCAGAAACAATACACAAATGCGTCAGCGCGTGTCAGTCTATAGGTAGGCGGTCCTATGCACATCGACCCGTGAAGCGATTAGCCAATCAGCGATAACGATTACGATCTTTATCACGCAATAGTGATCAGACTAATGTATACACGCGCTGTACAGTACATGTAATTACCAGATATAACACGAGGTGATAATTTTATATCTTTGATCAACAGTTGATTGGAAATTAGCAAATTTTACCGACAAAAGGATAAAATTATCGACTAATTACGCCGCAAGTTTAAAGACTGTTTCTCAAATGACAAATGAGTGTAATTTTGAATGATTGTCGAATATTTTCGGCATTTTCTATGCACAATTTTGCTTTAGTTTCATTCTTGCAAAAACTTTCGATAAGGCTATTAAGAATTTAAGATATTGTGCCGAAATGCCAGGACAACAAACCAAAATACACATACGCTTTTCTTTGATATTTAGATTCTATCCGAAAATTGATCCCGAACATCGGCGATTTCACGTTCGCCAGAAACCCTAAAATTTCGCAAAAATTCTCGGTTTCCAAGCCAAACATGCGAATGAATTGTTCCTTTATTATTTAATCAACATTAAATCTTTAAATATCGATCTTCAATTTGCCCCCTTTTGAAGATATTTGCTAAAGTAATTGTCGATCGGATGAATCTCTTACACACTGTTTGAAGCTGTACACGATTTTCCTATTCATTCCGCTAAACGCTGCCTATATACATTTACGTTTTTTTTACAAATATAAACTTTTTGTCTTTAGAGTGGACTTATTTAACCAGAATGAAATTTGATTTGGTATAAAAGTGGAAAAAAACAACAAACAAAAACGATTTCCATGTGTTGATGCATTATAATGAAATAATTTCATAATAAATATCAACAACAAAACAACAAAACAATAATTATACTATGTAGTTCAGAGTTTCTTTTGAATAACTATAAACTTTGGAAGTCTCTTGAAGATTCAAAATATCAGCAATTGAATGACTAATCTGTAAACATATTAATTGCGACGCGCTTTTGGACTCCAACTTTTTCAGGGTTGGGAGTCCATGGACTCCATGTTTTAAAGTCCTAGTGAGAACCCTGATATATGAAAGAATTACGATACCTCTTATATATTTTGCGTAAGATTAAATCTTTACCAAAACTATTAAAGATTAGATACTTGTTGCATTTAATGTTAACTTCAATGTTTAAAAATATCTCACAATAAAAATGCTTTAAGCTACTCGTAATTATTTCCTTGCAGGGCCAAAACACTATTTTTGGGGAAATTTTCTAGCAAATAATTTATCTAATTTAATTTTATATATAATGAAATTATTCCAACAATTATACGCACAAACACCTTATTTTCGAATCTTATATACATGTAACTTATAGATCTATAGCAGTTACATAGCATTTATAATTTGGTTTCAGTTTTTCAATCACTTTTATAACATCTAGCCTCTATCATTATCTAACAACAATAATAATTAAAAATATATTCAGGAGATTATATTTTAAAAATCTTTTGAAGTTTTCTCTGATATTACTTACCGCCAATTAGCATAAAGCTATAAACAGTTAATTACTTAAACCTTGAAAAAAATACGTACAGTTTAATTAAGATCAAAAGATAATGTTTTCGAAGGAATAATTGTAATTAATAATAATAATTAAATTAATTGTTGTTAATCAATTAAGCAATGTACTGTATAGTAGGGCCGAAACGTTTCGCGGAAAAGGGCCGAAACATCCAGGGGCCGCTTTTTCCACTGGGGCCGATTTGGTTTGGGGCCGAAACGTCCTGTTTGCCTGACAATTGAAAATTTTGTGCTACAGAGTCATCTGTCAGTCCGTCACAAAACTTGTCCAGACTACTCCTCATAAACTATTGATGCAATTTTATCCAAACTTTTCAGGAATGATCACTACCAAGTCTACATGTGTATATCTTTTTATGGTTCAATGAATTTTGTCAGAGTTATGGCCCTCTAATCGAAATTTGATCGATGGGCATTTCATTTGATGAAAGGACGTTTCTTGCAAGCTTAAGGCTACCACTAGTTAATGCAATTTCAATGAAACTTTACAGCAGTGATCAATAGCTCGAATTCTTGTGCATATTGCACAGGGTTTTAGGTTGAATGATTTTTTTTGCCAAGTTATGTCTATCATAAGGCGACACATGTCATGGCCCTTGTAATTGTTTGAAGTTGCTGTAAGTAATCTACTGGCTTGTGAGCAGTTCCCCATAGAATAGCAATACCCTTATTTTTCGTTTAAATGCTCTATTTCTACTTGCAATCTTTACAAAAATTGTTTTAAAAATCATGCAGATGTGTGAACGAGACAAAACGGAAGTGTCATTTCGGAAGTGTCATTTCGTAAATTCATACAAAAATAGAAAAATAGTGTTTCTGTCTGTAAAAGGGTTTTCCACTAGTACCATGTTTAAGTAAAATCCAGGTCATGGACTCATTAAGACAATGTTATTTTTTACTCTTGTTATGTTTATTTGAATAATCATCCTGATTTTTTATCCTAATTGCCTCACTTTATCTGTATGGAAAATGTTTGTTTATCACAACTAAATCCAGATTTTTCAGCACCACAAACTAAAATTTCTTCCCTTTTAGTTAGTCCCACAGTATAGTCAATTTCACAGTCTAATCCTTTGTTTGTCTTCATTATATGATGTCTTCTGCCACCCAGAAGTGCTGTGGTCTGTTGTTGGTTCAAAGCTTGCCAGGGACTTTGGATTTTTTATGTGAGGAAACTATCCAACTAACAAATGCTTTTGCTTGAAATTATGCATGGAGGGGCATCTGAGGTCTTCCATCACCAGGAAAAGATATGACGTTTACTGTGTTGGTGTGATGGAAAAACTATATAGGTCAGAGGCAAGCCAGCCTACACTTTTTCCCAGAAAAGTGACATAATTAATACATGTATTCATTATCTGTATACCTGTATTTTCTAACAATCCCCTGAACATACATCTACATTTATAGCAGTTACTGTACTAGATAAGATATACTAAACTGCACCTCCTAAGTTCCCATTCATGATTTCCCCTACTTGGAGACATTTTGTTGTAAAATCAGATGAGGAACCTCTTCAAATGAAAAAATTGTATTTATAATCAAATTTATTTCAAATAAATAAAAGGTATAGAGGTAATAAATTGAGTTTCAGGTATGTCTCAACCCTTACATGTATGAAATACATTTACTTTGACATTCATTATGTCTGCATTTTTATAAAGTCCCAGTGACAACAGTATACAAATTTAGTGGTAGGCTGTTAGGATATGGCTAGTAGATCTTTGGTTGGGCCCGTCAACCTTAGACCAACAGCGGCCTGTGAAAATTTATATATATCTTAGTGACAGCAAAACAATACATGTTTAAGAAAGTTTATTTTGTAAGTTGAAGTGTAAAAGACTAACATGCTAGAATGCCCACCTAACTAGTCTGTTGACTAAATTTTTATCTTGATGTCCCTAAAATTGATAATATACTGTTACAATAATGGGAGAATGACAAGTCCATTTAAAAACTGGAGTAAAGGTCAACAACAAAAATTGTCAGTATCTACAAGATTCAGTATTTAAAAGCTGTTTTGTTACAAGGGCATTGTGTTTTGACATCTGTAATATCATGATGCAGAATTATTTGTATACATGTACATTTCTGGTGTTATATATTTGATACAGTATCATAATCTGTATTAAACTTGGGTCCGTGGTTGAGGGGTTAGAGTTGATGACTTCTAATCCAGTTACCTCTCTGGCGTGGGTTCGATCCCCGGGAGATGCTTTGGTAGTTTAGCACGGAGGAAGGTAGTCTAGTACTGGTGTAACTCTCCAGGAACAATGGTTAGGAAACTACCCGCCTATATGACTGAAATACTGTTGGGAAAAGGCGTAAAATGATACAAACAAACAAACAAAACAAAACTTGGGTGACTTTGCTGGATGATGATTATGATACAAAATTATTTGCATGAATGATGAATAGTTCTCTTCCAGTAGTTTGAGTTTTCATTTTGTGCAATTCATTTAATTCTTGGCCTATTTCTTTAAATCTAACAGATGAACCAAAGGACCAGAGAAAACAACAGACTGGTAATTCCCTTCTTTAGTCTTATGATATCATGTAGAAATACCGAAACTTTTGCAAGTAATTTTCAAAGAGACCCTTCTTCCCCCCCCCCCCCCCCCCCTCTTATCTTTTCAAATTCAATTGGCAATAAACAGATCTTTCAACTTCACAAAAGCCTGATTAAGTGG